AAGGAAGGAAGGAAGGAAGGAAGGAAGGAAGGAAGGAAGGAAGGAAGGAAGGAAGGAAGGAAGGAAGGAAGGAGAAAAGGGAGGGAGAGAAGGAAGGCAAGGCAAGGAAGAAAGTAACAACAATAGCTCTTCTATACCGCTTCCCAATGCTTTACGGCCCTCTCTAAAGTGGTTTATAGAGTCAGCCTATTGCCCCCAACAACCTGGGTCCTCATTTTACCTGCCTCAGAAGGATGGAAGGCTGAGTCAACCTATCCCACCATTTCTTTGAGGTTAGTATAATTCTTGTCCTGCAGCAACTTGGCTATGGTGAGTTGGCCGTGGCAAAATGTCATAGGCCCTTTCAGCAAAGAGGTCCAAGGCTCATCCTTGGTAATGCCCCCCCTGCCCCCCCAAATCAGCTTGCTCCCCTTAGAAGCTAATGAAGCACGTAGCCTTCCTTAATGGAAGCCTGTAGAGGTTAAATTATTATGAAATAAAAACTAACGCCATTCCAGCTAGAAACATTTAGCGGCAAAGTAGGGTGAAGAGCATCGCCAATTGACCCCACCTTGACAAAGAGCTGGTGTTTCGTTGAGAAAGAGAAACACGGGTAGTCCTCGACTTATGACCACAAGTGAGCCGCATTTGTCCATTGCTAAGCAAGACAGTGGTGAAGTCAGTGTTTGCCCCTTTTTATGACCTTTCTTGCCGCCATTGCTCAGTGAATCACCATAGTTGTTCAGTTAGCAACACAGTCGGTTAAGTTGCCCATTGACTTGTGCTAGGCCAGACCAGAATAGAACAGAGGAAATAGACTGGAGCGGAGCAGAGCGGAGCAGAATAGAAATAGCACTTAGAGTGACATACTGCTTCACGGGGCTTTTACGGCCCTCTCTAAGTGGTTTAGAGAGTCAGCATATTTTCCCCCCAGCAATCTGGGTCCTCATTTTACTGACCTCGGAAGGATTGAAGGCTGAGTCAACCTTGAGCTAGTCAGGATCGAACTCCTGGGAGTTGGCAGAGTTTGCCTGCAATGCTGCATCCTAACCACGGGGCCACTGCAGCTCTAGTTCTTGTAACTTTGAATGGCCACTGAATGGACTGTGGTGAGTCGAGGACCACCGTCAGCTCCTCCTTGGCAAAGACCCTCCCCTCTGCCCCCAGCGGAACAACCTCAGCTCCCATCCCATCTCGCCAAGGTTCCCCAGTGGCCGCTTCGGATTACATTCCGCTCAAACCATGCTGGGCCATGGAATCGACCCACGGCTTACGTGCCGGTCATGAGAAGCAGCGCCAAGATGCTGGTGCCAGTCATGCAGAAGAATGGATTTCAAGAAATGGGCGTGATGGTGAGATGAGGAAGACTTCAGAGGTGGAATACAGAACCACAGAGTTGGAAGGGACCTTGTCGGTCATCTAGTCCAACCCCCCCCCTGTGCAAGCAGGAGACCCTACACAATTTCTGACAGACGGCAGTCCAGCCTCTTCTTGAAAGTCTCAAGTGATGGCGCTCCCACAACTTCTGAAGGCCAGAATACAATGGGATTTTTTTCTATGCTCTGACCCAAATTGGAACACATTCTCAGCTTCAGAATGTGAATCACATCCTTATTTATCCAGTAAATTAAAATAAAGAAAATTTCTACATTGGAAATAGGAGACAGGACATTTTTCCTCCCCAGCTGCCTTAGAAAAGGATGCTTGGAAAACCTTTCTTTTAGCCCCAAAAAGGGAGGAAGAATCCACATATATATGAATGGTACTCAGTGAGACCTGCCTATACTCAAACCGCTGGTTACAGCTGTACACAAACCTCTGGACACACTGACAAGATTTCCCCTCCCTTCTGAAATTTTGGTACAACTTCAAGTCCTAGGAAGGGAAAGTTAGTCATTCTCTGGACTTCCCCGATTTTCTTTAAAATCCTGTTCTTGCAAGATCTAAAAATGTTGAAGACCTCTTCCTGCAGAAACCTGAACACCCGGTGCTGGCGGGGGGGTCTGGCTTGAAATAATTCTGCATTAGTTGGGTCTCCTAATAAGGCCAATTTTTTTAAAGGGTCCCCCAAAGAATCTTTTCCAAAAGGCAACTGGACTTTCTTGTGGGTTTTTTTTTCCCCTGAAAAGGGTTCCCTTCTCATCCAAGGAGCTGCTTCAGTCGGGAAGTGAAGAAGCTTCTTGGATGAGAAGCGAAACGTTTCCAAGGAAAGTTGGATTGCCCTTGGAAAAGCACCTTTGGGACAATTATGGTGTCCATGGAGCTTGTCATTCCGCCTGATCATTTTTTTTCCAAGAGGCAACCCGACTTTCTTTGTGTTTCCTTGAAGATGTTTCACTTCTCATCCAAGAAGCTTCTTCCGTTCTGAAGAACTGAACGGAAGAAGCTTCTGAGATGGGAAGCAAAACATCTTCAAGGAAAAACAAAGAAAGTCCAGGTGCCTTTTGGGGAAAAAAAGCATCTGTGGGAGAATCTCCAGACTTTCTTAAAAGGGATATTTCTTGATCATACCCAGAGTAACCATGAATCACGGTCAGCCGAAAGACTCTGAGCTTCTTGTTTCTGCATCGAGAAGGTTCAACGGTTGTTAAAACCAAATTTTCAAAGAAAGGACCAGAGGATGCCCCACTGGTAAGTCATGGTGGGACCAAGACAAGAAGAAAGGGCAGGACCTCATGCCACCCCCCTCCACCCGAACACCTGCAGACCGGAGACTATTAACATTAACAGAATTTAACAGAGTTGGAAGGGACCTTGTAGGTCATCTAGTCCAACCCCCCTCCGCCCAAGCAGGAGACCCTCCGCCATTGCTGACAGATGGCAATCCAGTCTCTTCTTGAAAGCTTCCAGGGATGAAGCTCGCACAACTTCTGTTCCATGGGTTGATTGCTCTCCCTGTCAGAAAATTCCTCCTTATTTCCAGGTTGAATCTCTCCTTGAATCAGTTTCCATCTGTTATTCCTTGTCCTGCCTTCAGGTGCTTTGGAGAATAGCTTGACCCACTCCTCCTCCTCTCTGTGGCAGCCCCTCAAATATTGGAAGATGTTCTCCTGTTTCCCCTGGTCCTTCCCTTCCCTAGACTAGCCAGGCCCAGTTCCTGCCACCATTCTTCACGTGTTTCAGCCTCCAGTCCCCTCATCATCCTGGTCGCTCTTCTCTGCCCTCCTTCTAGACTATAGGCTGCCCCTTCCTAATTTGGAGGGAATGAGCTCTTCAATCTTTTCACCAGATATTAGATTGCGATCCCTTTGAAATTATGGAAGCAGTAATAGCATGTTTTATACCTGCAAGTTTAATGCGTTTTTATTATACCATTTTATGTGAGATATAGCATAAACAAGGCTCAGATGACTTATTCAGGTTAAATGTAAAGAAATGTAGTAGCTGGGATGTTTTTTCCCGGTTCATGTTCACACTAATTAATATTTATTATGTCCTAGGTGTTGTATCAAATTGTTTATCTGATATGCAGAATAGCATTTATCTAAAATGTGCTATTAAATTCAATATAAATGGATCCCATGATAAATTTCTCCCCAGCTATAAGAAATGCTGTGTAAAATTCTGTCTCTCGCTTAGTTATAGGGGGAAGAGGGGGGTGTACAGGTAGGATTATTTTGATTAGTAGCTAACATAGAAGATAGCATTTGTTTTCCTGCACTTGAAAATAATTGTTTTATCTTCCAGCTAAAGAAGGAATCGGGCAGTTTGCTCTTGCGTTTCATTTACATTTCGGCTGTACTATTCTTCTAGAATTGATAATTTTCATTAACTTGTACGTGTTGAAATCAAATAAAAGCTTCCATACACATTACAAGAAATAAATGCGCTGGATTCTAAAAAAAAAATGAAATGAAACCCAAGATGGGTGAGAGCAGCCAATGGGATGGTTGTAACATGAATGGAGAAGAAGGTTTTGGGCATCTGCAGGCAGGCAATAACAAGGCCACAAGGGAGAGCAATAATGTATTACCCAATGAAACTCCTACAAAGACGATCCCAGTGAAAGGAAGACACAAAAAAGAGCAGAATCAGCCACAAGGAAGACAATAATCCAAACAACAACCCCAGAACACACACAATGGTTGTGTTTCAAGGAAAGACACTCCTCTACTCCTGTCCTTTGATGCGGGGACAAACAGATGAGAGTTTGGAGTCCAGGCATAATGCATCCTTCTGGGTAAAGAGGAAAAGTAAAATAATGAACGCTTGTGTTCATTATCCCCAAAATGACACCTTCCCCCCCCCCTATTTTTTATATCCTGGTCACTTTCAATCTGACTTTAAGAGTCCTGGTGCAGGCTTGGGAGATTAAAGTGAAGAGATTCATCCACCCCATTGGTTCAAGCCTTTGAAATAATTCCCAATTTCCCAAACAAGTTGTGTCTCACAAGTGTTTTCCCTCCATTGGGGCAGAAAAGATGAAGTAGAAACTACTGTGAATGTTCTGAAGCAGACTGCATTTCTACTTCAAATAGTAAGTTTTCTTATAGCCCAGATGGGGAAAGATCAACTCCAAAGCAAACATTAGTTCTGTTCACCCAAAACAATTGAGATAGTCAACAACAAATCTTGTGTCTGTAAAATGTCCTAAACTTGGTTAGTTTTACCTTGGCTGTTTTTCCCCTCCAAACCCAGCCCAACCCTGAGTGAGTTTGTGATTCAACAAACGGTATTGTGCACACCAAGAATTTCATTCATTCAGCAAATGGACCCAGAATATTGCAGAAAACCAGTGAGATGAAAAAGAAAAAAAAGGTTATAGGAAAGGGAATTTGTTGCAGATGTCCACGGGAATTGGATTCTGATGGCCGGAAAAACTGACTCCATCGTAGCACAGATGACAATGCCGAACAGAATAAAAACATTTGACTGAGAAGGGTTGATCCCCCAAAGGATATTTAGATATTCTAAATAGTTTGTGACAGAATTATTCAGTGGCTTACAATTACAAGGTGCTCCAGGAAGCATAAAAAGGGAGACAGAGGGAGGAGGAGGGAGAGGGAGGAGGAGGGAGAGGGAGAGGGGGAGAGAGAGAGAGAGAGAGAGAGAGAGAGAGAGCACGCTGGAGGCACTAAGCTATTATCATGATTGTCATGGATGGGACTTTGGCATGTTTCCTAAGCTAGAAGTACCAGCAAGTCCAATTCCCGCTTTAGTTTGTGTTAAAAGAAGGACACGATTCCCCTTCCAGTTGTATCCAACTCTAGGTGGGCAGGGTTCATCTCTCTTTCAAGGCTGAAGGAGCCAGTGTTATCTGAAGACAATTTTGTGTGGCTGGCATGTTATACAGAATGCTGTTATCTTGCCATCAAAGTGGTACCTATTAATCTACTTGCATTTGAATGCTTTCGAACTGCTCGGTGGGCAGGAGCTGAGCTGAGGACAGGAACTCACCCAGTCTCACAGTGTTGGGTCTCAAACCCAGGCTGTCAGTCAGCTTTCCAGCTGACAAGCTCAGCGTCTTTAATGCGCCCTCACCAAAGGATGCTAATGGTAGATGATCTGCTTAACTTCCATGGAAGGAATCCCTTCCGGCTCACTGAACTCAAGCGAGAACTTCTAGGTAATGAGGGCAGTCAATTCCCCCCCGCACCCCCCACCCCCCCAAGCACAGCATCGCTCTGCTTTCCACTCCAGGAAACAACAGAGCTCAGGAAGAAAAGAAGCTACTTACGAAAAGGCAAATGCCACAAGAGCTCCACTGACCACAATGAAGTCGAGGATGTTCCAGAGATCACGGAAATAGGCACCGGGATGCAGCAGAAGTCCCAAGTCAATCATCTTCAGAAAGCGGGGTGGGGGTGGGGGTGGTGAAGGACCCAGGGAGGGGAGAAAGGGGAGAAAGGTAGATGTCACTATTGTTTTTAGTAGTTTGATGGACTTCACGTAGCACTGATGATGTTAGCTATTTGGGTCATGTCATGTCTGCAAGAAAACCACCAAACTCAGAGAGCGGCAAGAAACCTACAGCCTTCCTCCTCCTCCTCCTCCTCCTGCTCCTCTTCTCACAAACTCCCATCTCTTCTAGCACTGATAATGTTATCTCCTTGGGTACTGAAACATTTGCAAGAAAATAACCATGTTCAAAGAGCACCAAGGAACCCATAACCTTCCTCCTCCTCCTCCTCCCTCCAAACTTCTTTCCCTTCTAGCACTGATGCTATCACTGATGATAGCACTATCTAGTTGGATAATGAGACATCTGCAAGAAAACAGCCAAGCTCAGAGAACACCAGGGACCTCTCATTTAAACCCTGAGCTACAAATATTCTTTATTGCTTTATGTGTATTCTTGCACGTCCTCAAAAATCCACATGGATTTCACAGGATACAATTGTTATGAGTATGCAAATAAGTGGTCCAATGTCGTGCTTGTGTATTGTTCCTTTGTAGACATGCTCCTAAGAGATCTTGAGAAAGATTCTTACCTTTATCACCATCTCAAAGGTAAAGACACCTGTAAATATATAATCCAGGTACTTGAGAGCCTGAAAAGAGAAGGAGCAGTTCAAAAGTTAAAAAGAGCCAAAGTAAATTGAATCCAAAGAAACATATGTTATGTATGGGGGAAAAAATCAGAGAGATTCCTTCTACTAGGGTGTTTCACCATCTGTATTGCTCCAAGATCTGAGACATGCTTCAGTCTGGAAGGCTCAGGTTAGGAGCTGGTCTTTGAAGCAATGGGTAGCTGTGGCGACGCAGTGGTTAGAAAGCAGAACTGCAGGCTAATTCTGCTGACTGCCACCAGTTCAATCTTGACTCAAGGTTGACTGAGCCTTCCAAGACCTTTCTGAGGTCAGTAAAATGAGGAATGAGGTTGTTGGGGGAAATAAGCTGACTGTGTAAACGGCTTAGAGAGGCCTGTCAGGCACTGGGAAGGGGTATATAAGTCTAACTGTTGTTGCTAATGCTATTGGTTTCCACTGGTGCTTGGTCAGGGATTCTAGACAGAAGCCCCTTTTGGAAAACAAGCAACTGGCCATCCTTTGTAAGCTGCCCATGAAGATCTGGGGAGGCTTCCCTATCGTCTGGGAACTGGATCCCCTTTCAGATCCATATTTGGTGGCCTGGTTGTCTTGGCAAGAGGAATCGGTTCCATCTCCACCCCACACTCAAGTGACAGAAAACTGCAGGTCAAGTGCCTGAAAACAGGGACCCAAGAAGCATGTAGAAGAAGGCAAGGTGGAGAGCCGTGGTGGCGCAGTGGTTAGAATGTAGCATGGCAGACTAATTCTGCAGACTCCCGATTGCCAGAAGTTCAGCAGTTTGATCCTGACTGGCTCAAGGTTGACTCAGCCTTCCATCCTTCCAAGGTTGATAAAATGAGGACCCAGATTGTTGGGGGAAATAGCTTGACTCTGTAAACCACTTAGAGAGGGCTGTAAAAGCATTATGAATTGCTATTGCTATTGTTATTGTTATTGCTATTGCTATTGCTATTGCTATTGCTATTGCTATTCTATTCCATTCCATTCCACTCCACCCCACTCCACTCCGCCTTACCCTATCCTAAGCAATATGCTTACTCTATAAAGCACTTAGAGAGTTTAGAAAGCAGTATATATGTCTTAATTGTCTCTGTTGTTATCTTCAGCTCCACCCCAATGCAGAGGCCTTCCTCCACAACTCATCCTGAACTCTCATCTCTCACCTCGTTTCTGGGTGACTCTGCTTGAACAGGGTCTTCGGCGGCCAGGGCGATGCTGCTGAGTGCGATAACGAAGAGGATGACCATCTCGAAGTAACGCATGTTGACAATGTAGTGACAGAGGCACCGGATCCTGCAGAGGAGCCACAGAGAGGAGTGAGAGAGGAAAGGTCAAGGAAGGCATGGCCACCATCCCACAGGGCCGCATCAAAGTGACCATGTTGCGAGGCTCTGGCAGAGCACCCAATGCGATGCGAGAGCTTCTACCAACATGGTACAGTGACTTCTTGAGATGTTTGCGTACCCCTTCTCTAACAAATCAATTCAGCCTGCACTCAACAAAGTGTTGGTCAAGAATCTGATGAGTTTGGTGATTGGTTGAAATGGCAGAACTCAGCAGGCCTTCCTGGCTGTGGGAAATTCCACCAGAAACCAGAAGCCTGTGAGTTAACTAAAGAAGGGTACTTGAGTCTTTTTTATAACTTCTAAACCTTATCTATTGTGTGCTACCTTCTTTGTATGTAACTAAGTCAAAATATGAAGTCTCTCTCTCTCTCTCTCTCTCCCTCTCTCTCTGCCTCACACTGTGTTCGGGGTTCTTCCAACATAAGGGAGGACTGACCTTTGTTCAGAAGAATCAACACGTCTGGCTTATCAAGAGACGTCTCCTTCTTCCTACCAAGTCCCTCCTAAATCCCTGCTTAACACGGGATGACTTACGGGTTGGTTGGGCTTAAGACGAACATGGAGCTGTAGGGAAGGATTGGTTTTGGTGTACTGTTGGCCATGTCGTCTTCAGCATCCATGTCCTTCTTCTCTTCCATTTTGGCTTCAAATTCAACGTTGTTCACTAAAGGGTTGACAAAGATAACACTACATCTCAAAATGAAAGTTTCTGAATAGGTTTGGAGCACAATATTTTGTTGCTGCGGCCCAGAACAAAATAGCCACTTCTGTTTTGTGAATAAACCTGGCTGAAATGGTCGTTTCTTCAACCTATTTGTCCTCGAAGGCAACAAGACAAGTTACCAGGCCATCCTACCAATGGCCAGCTACAACAGTTCATTTAGTGAACGTTCAAAGGTACAACAGCACTGAAAAAAAGTGACTTATGACCATTTTTCGCAATTACGACTGTCGGTCAGGTGATTTACATTCAGATGCTTGACAACTGACTCCCATTTATGATGGCTGCAATATCCCAGAATCATGTTTAATTTCCCCTTTCAAGGACTTCTGACCAGCAACATCCATGGGGAAACCAGATTCACTTAACGACCATGTGACTCATTTAACAACTGCAGTGATTCACTTAACAAAGGTGGCGAGGAAAGTCATAAAACGGGACCAAACTCACTTAACAAATTTCCCACTTAGCAACATAACAATAGCCCTTAGACTTATATACCACTTCACAGTGCTTTACATTTGTCTTTAAGCGGTTTGCAGAGTCACCCTGTTGCCCCCAACAATCTGGGTCCTCATTTGGAAGGAGGGAAGGCTGAGTCAGCCTTGAGCCTGGTGAGATTCGAACTGCCAAATTGCAGGCAGCCGGCAGTCAGCAGAAGGAGCCTGCAGTACTGCACTCTGACCACTGCGCCACCGAGGCTAATAAATCCTGGGCTCAAAAGAGCTTCTGGTGTTAGAAACACTCACTTGGTATGATGGAGGCCTCCCCGGGAGGAGCGGTGACAGTGACAGGAATGTGGACAGGGGCAGATCTGTCCAAAGATGGTTGAGCCATACGGGTCACGTTCTTCTGGTTGTCAGCATCCTCCGGCTGCTCAGGTACCCTCTGCAGACAGGTGCTGGGCAAGGTGTGTAAAGGGACCACGGTCACACTTATGCCTGCCTCGGTGTCACATTGGCTTTCCCTGGAGAGCGAGAATAAAGTTGGGAATGATCTCATTTCTTCCATCCAAATGTTTGGCTCACTGACTTTCTACAGCTTCTTAGTCCAGCAGGACACAGACTTGAGGGATCTTTGGTGCTTTCTGAGCTGGGTGGTTTTCTTGCAGGTGTTTTGTGACCCAACTAGGAAGCATCATCAGTGCAAGAAGGGATTGGGTTTGGAGGAGGAGGAGGAGAACAACAACAGCTATTCTGGGGTTCCAGGTGCTCTCTGAGCATGGCTTTTTTCTTGCAGGCATTTCATTATCCACCTAGGTAATATCCTCAGTGCTAAAAGGAGTGGGGTTTGTATGGATGGGGAGGAGACGATGACTGTGGGGGTCCTCTGAGCT